GGAGCTTTGTATGGTGCTTTCGAAGGCTTGATAAATCCTACTTCTAAGATTTCCTTGAGTTGTCTCCGCAACTCATCCAATTCCGGTGACGACATTTGGTATTGGGCTTTGGCAGGTGGTTTAGCTCCCAACTCTAGCTCAATCTTGTGGTCCACCTCTCTCCTAGGTGGTGGGTATTTCGACAACTCGGGTGGCATGACATCCTTGTACTCTTCAAGGACTTGAGATATTTCCTTCGGTACTGGCTCCATGGTATCCACACCTCTCTCATCTTCCAACTCATGTACCATGGTGAGAAAGGTTTCTTCTTTCTGCTTAAGTCCTTTCTCAATTTGCATTGCAGAAAGTTGGTTGTTTGGTACGGCCTTGCTTACCGTTGGAACCATGCATGGAACTCTCTCAAGGATGCACATAGAGTTGTATCGCGGTAGGGGCACCGCATTGAATTGCTTGAGATATTCCATGCCAAAAACAAGGTTAAAGTCATCTAAGATTGCAACTAAAAATGTTACCTTACCGCTCCATGTGCCAAGATGTAGCTCAACATTCCAAGCCATGCACTCCAATGGTTTAGCTTCTGCATTCACCGTCTTGAGCCAGCCATCTGATTTCTCCACCTTGAGGCCTAACCGTCTTGCCCCGCTATCTTTGATGAAGTTGTGGGAAGCACTCGTATCCAATAAGGCTTAAACTTTCTTCCCATTGATGGTGGCTTGGACATGTATGAGGGACTTATCTTGAACTTTGGGTGTGCAGGTTTTACCTTCAAGGCATTGAGAAGTTGGAGGCACCCCATGTTGGCGGTCTCAGATACGAGTGCTTCAGGTTGCTTCTCTTCAAACATGGCATTGAAGGCCTTGTGCTTGGGGAAATCCCGAATCCAATGATCTCCATCACAAAGATAACAGTTCTCCCGGCACTTGTATTCCTTCTTGCCATCCTTCCGCCATTCCTTCTTATGAGGTGGCTTGTCTCCCTTTTCTCAGTGGTGTGATGATTTATCTCCCTTTCCTCCCCCACCTTTGTCGTAATTGGGCTTGCCATCTTTCTTTTGCTTGGATGTTTCGCCCTTGCGAGGATATCGACTTCGGTAAGGGTCGTGGAGATGTTGGCAACATGAAGCCTTTGGAGCTCCCTTTATGCCCAAGGTTGGAGCCCCTCCACAAAATTGAATAGTAAATCTTCCGAGTTCATATTATCAAATTGAAGCATCAATTTAGAGAACTCATCCACATACCTAGAAATAGGCCCCGTGTACTTAAGCTCCCGCATATTCTTTCGTGCTTCATATGCCATGTTGCCCGGATAGAATTGCTTTTTGATCTCACACTTGAGTAAGTCCCAAGTGTTAATGATGCACGTACCTTGTACAATTTCGGCATGCTTTCGTTGCCACCACGCAATTGCATGATCCTTAAGATACCCGATTGCAATGTTCATCCTCTCTTGCTCACTTTGGACACTAGTAGCTTCGAAGTACCTTTCCATGGACCATAGAAAGTTCTCTAGCTTTTGGGCATCCCGCTTTCCCCCATACTTCCACAGTCTTGGAACTTAGACCCTTGCGAGAGGTGCGACATTGGTAACGACCCCGTTTGCCGCTGCCTTCTTGCAAAACGCTCAATCACCCTTGCTTTCCTCTAGACCCGATCAGAGCTCTTCCACTTGAACTTGTAATGCCCTGAAGAGTCCAACACCACCGATTGGAACTCTGTAAAAGCTTGGTGCTTCTCAACAACATCTTGGCGAAACTCTCCCATGATTTTGACCATACCTTCTACACCGTCCATCTTTTGATCGAGGACATCGAGGTGTTCTTTCACTTCGGCAAAATTCACCTCGTTGCACATCACCCGTGCTTCCATGGAGGTCATCACGTCTATGGACTTGTCCTTCCCTCCTCAAGAGTTCTTCTTGGAAGGATTGGGGTTAAGGTTGGCCTCCCTCCCACATTGCTCTTCATAGCAAACTTCGGACGACATCTCGAACCAAGAATCTTCCCACTCGTATACCAAATGTGACGACCCGACTATTTCCCTTCAGACTTGTGCGGCCTTAGGTGCCAACATCCCGACGATTGCCCTTAGTCAGCCTTGCTCGCTCACACTTCTAGCCATGCAAATAAGAGAACACTCACACAAACTCACTCACAAGAGATGCTAGAAGAGAACTTTTTACTAATGAGAGAAAGCTTTACAATTCTTAGATGGTTTGGCCAAATGAAAGTTTTTCCCTTTTATAGTAGATGAAGTTTACAATGGACGGTCTAGATCTTCTACAATCAACGGTGGAGATTAGCTAACTCCAAACTACCACCTACCAACTACCATTTATCCACTATCGTATTAATTACAAGATAGTAGCAAATACAAGAGTATTCTAGAAGGTTATAGAGTGTCGGGGTGACGCACACCAAATGTTTGATAAAATGCTTAAGAGGCGTCACACTAGGGATATTTTTATTAAGATTATTAAAATACAAATTTTTTATATATGAATAGATTAATAAAAAAGTGTATGACAGAGATAAATATTTTTGTTTGATAATATTGTCTTTAAGACATACATTACAACATATTAATAATAAATTGAAGTAATAAAGGGCAGTAATATGACTCCATTAACGCAGTTGTAATTCCAATTTTAAATATTAATAACAACATATTTATTATGAAAAAAAATGATTTGTATGTTTTTTATTCAATAAGTTAGCTGGTGATTTTAACTATTTATAGGTGATTGAGTGGTTCTATAAAAATTCATAGGTGTATTATTTAATATATTTTTCGTTCGAATTTCTTTTCAGTTTCTAATAGAAGTAGTCATTGAAATTGCTATTTAATCAATAGTTCTAAAGTCCGAAAAAATTAATTGAGATATACCCTAAATTGATCCACCCGATAATTAAAAAAAAAAAAAAAAAAAAAAAAGGCTGATGAATTTGAAATGCAGAGTTTCCATTTCAATTTTATAATAGTTACATTTGATGTCATTAAAGAATGCAACCTTGAAATATGGTTCACAAAGTTTTAGAAACGTGTGCCAAAGACTGGTTGTGGTCTCCAGGTAGCAATGTTGTTTTGAAACGTGTGCCTAGGCTGGTGATAGTCTAACCGTCATTTCAATTCAATACCATGACATAATGTTGGAATAAATGAATGAAAACTCAAGAAGAAGAAGAAGCAAAATTAACCTTTTTCCATGTTTAGTCTCTTTCCAATTACATCATATTGACGACATTTTAATTTGGAGCATTCATACAGGATATGATACACCCAACCACTTATTCTAATACATCACCAATTTCATCCTTCCCAAGTTTGAACAACTACAAGTTTATAAATTATAATATAATTTCTTGTATCGTCTAAAATTATAGGAAATGACTTTGTAAAACTCAAGTCGGTCAGAGGCCGATGATGCTTCTCTCCAAACCAGGGAAATAGTTAACCTTTAACAACCTGGTAAATCATAAATTTTCATTAGTTTTATTGTGTTTAAATTTCTAGTTAGTTTAAGTAGTCGCACTAATCAACAAATTTCTTGACTAATCATAATCAATTTTACATATCAAATCCTTTCTTCAAATGCAATACGTCTTTGGCAGCCAAAATTGAAGATTGAGAATTACTGTATGTTGAATACAAGGATTAGTGTTCATAATACAAACTAATTTGAACGCTAACTAATTAAGGTAAATACACAAATATGTGAAACATTTTAATGATCAGTAAACAGGCACGTGTAATATCTTATTCACATTGAATCAAAATCCTATGTAAAAGTTGGTAGAATAGTTACAAATAATTAAATCAACTCGTGGCCTGAATTATACACATAATATTTCAATTTATTTCGTATGGCCTGTGAGGGTACCTATCAATTCTTCATTACATATATACAGAATAAATATAGAACTATATAAGGTATCTTTCATGAGGTTTCATCTGCAAATAATTTAATAACATTTATGCCCATCATATGTTAATTGTATCATGAAAATTCTAAGGGGCTGGTCAGTAGGTACATAACGAGGAAAATTTGTCACTTAGGTGTTATAGGAGACAAAACAATCCCATTTTAATAAGAAATAAAGAAGAATTATGAATCTATGATGAGCTTCCATGTATCTTTCTAAGGGACTGTGTCATGTGTTTAATGTTCGCCCAAATCATGCAGGGGAGGAACTTATTTCATGCACGAAAATGTACTTTATCATAAAATTTTGGATTATACATGTCACCAAATTTGACACTCTTCTGCTAAAAGATTGAGCATTCTAGACGTCTCCAACAACAAATAATCTGGTTGATGATCGTACGATGCAGACAGAACCAAATAGAGATATGGAGTTGAAAGTCTATCCATTGACTTTTGGCTTCTCAGCTGCTTTATTTTTTGACTTCATAAGTTCAACCATTTTATTAAAAATAGAATAGATCTTTGACTTATTAAATATGATAGCTTATGTTTATTTGCTAATGTTATGCTGAGGGATGCAATACCCATAACCCTTAAATTTATTGCTTTTGTACAGTACAAAAATCGATGAATCAGACTGATTGATTTTCTTAATTGGCCCCTCACTAAGTTAATTAAATTACCAAGATGATGACATACCATTATGAATTGTATTTCCACCGATGATCTTACAGTTGCATACATCTTTAATTTTAATTAATTAATTATTCAATTAACCACCAACTCTTTTTATTATTCAACTGCTGCGAATGGAAGTAATCAGCTGCGAATGCATCCACCAAGAAACGAATTCCAAACCTCAAGATTTCTTTATTCAAAACCAAAACCGGATTCGTCATCATATTGGCGTTATTCAAAATGAAGCTCATATTGAAGTTTGAAGAAAGAGACAAAAGTACAACAAAATAATATACTACAAGGATTATTTAATTTTCTTTTCTAAGTACATATGCTATTTTAATATGCCTTTTATGACAAGAAACAGTTGGTTAGCAACTTCCCATAGGTTTCTTGCGTTCAAACTTGGTAGCAGAAATGGTACTCTTGGAAGAAATTTAGATTTGTGCATTCATACTAGCAACGAATTCTATATAAGCAGCATGATGCTTAGCTTTACGATCCATTCAGTTATATCTGCATGTTCAAAGTGTAATTCTTGGAAAGCTAAAAGCCAGAAGATGGAGAAACTCTCAACCCAACTCTTGTATTGTTTCTTCTTCATTGTTCTTATTGTTTTTCATTCATCCCCGGCAACATCTCAAGAAGTTGGTAAGTAGTTATATTAGGCATGTATCCATGAGAATGGAGATACTTGCAAGCTAATTCGTTCTTTTAATGTTAAAAATATGATTTAGCGTGTGTTTGTATAAATTCATATTTTAATTCTCTCCGTTTAATATGTGGTTTTATGGTGCAGAGGATGAGACAGAGTTTAGTTATGAAGCAGGAGGTGAGAATGGGCCAGAACGATGGGGAGAGCTTCACAGCGAATGGAGTGCTTGCGAAAATGGATCAATGCAGTCTCCAATCGATTTGTTGCATGAGAGAGTTGAAGTAGTGTCTCATTTAGGGAGACTTAAAAGAAATTACAAGCCCTCTAATGCCACTCTAAGAAATAGAGGCCATGACATGATGGTAATTAATTGAAACAAGAGGAAAAAAAAAAATAAAAAAATAAAAATAAAAAAATAAAAGCCCTCAAATCTTTATATAATTGTGAATAAAGGGCAAATGAATATGACCTAATTGAATGCATAAGATCGTCTAGTAAAATATGTGATTCCAATTCCATCCATTAAAATGCATCACATGATCTATATATTTTCTATATGCATGCATAGAAGATTAATGTTTATCTCTTTTGCGTGCAGTTAAAGTGGGAAGAGGGTGCAGGAACTCTTGAGATAAATGGAACTGAATATATACTCAACCAGGTCCACTGGCATTCACCTTCTGAGCACACTCTCAATGGGAAGCGGTACTATAACTATATATCTTCAGCTAATAATCACTATATTTCTTAAATTGGGAGATTTTACTTTCTCTTCTTATTAACTTCTTTAAAATTTATGAACTGCAGATTTGATCTAGAGGCTCACATGGTTCATGAGAGCACAGATGGGAAAGTTGCAGTAGTTGGGATCCTGTACAAAATCGGACGACCTGATTCTTTCTTGTCATCGGTAATTAATTAATTACTAACCGAGGAAGCTGCTATAACATTTATATCTCTATATATCCATCTCTCAAGTATTCCTTCAAATGATCATTCTTTGTTTTGTTTAACAGATAAAGGATCATTTAGCAGCCATTGGTGGCAGCACTGAAAGAGATAAAGTGGTGGGTATGATGGATCCAAGGGGCATAAAGATAGGCAGTAGGAAGTATTACAGATATATTGGATCTCTTACTATTCCTCCTTGCACTGAAAATGTTCTCTGGACAATTGTCAAAAAGGTTTGCTACCTACAATATATTAACTTATTCAACTTACCAAAAACTTGTTCATTTTCGATCAAGTGATTATTTTTATATTTATATATCTTCTCATGTATTCTTAATGTGATTAGGTGAGGACGGTGACAAGGGAGCAAGTGCAATCTCTCCGCGTAGCTGTACATGATGTGAGTTTGCACCAAATAATTTTAATGCGGCCCTTTATCTTTCCCACATAAATTTCAAAAGAACACTTGAAAATTTACCAGAAATTATGGACATATAAGAATGTTTTCTTCATCTACTTGACATATAATAATACTTGATTAAATTCAAAAAGCATCATTTTGAGGTAGGAAGATATTCAAAATGTATACATTTTTTTTTCTAGAAATGATTAGGTGGTAATCAGAGATAGATGAAAACTTTTTGGAAGAAAGTTTATTATTAGACACTCTTCAATAATAGATAAGAATAATGAACGTTATACTATTAGAACAATCGTATATTTGTATGCGTGTACTTATGCTAAGAGTAATCTTTTACAGGATTCGAATACAAATGCAAGACCATTACAGCCATTAAACTCGAGGTCGTTACATCTTTTCAGACCAAATGATGATTCGACAGAAAACCCATGATATATATATAAAAGCTCATTGCTATGTGTGTATCATGCATCCACCATAGAGCTCATCTTATGCAATAACTCCAATTTCGCCATGCCCATGCATGCCATTGTTGCTGGAGAAATATAGTGATCTACACTACTCTAGACGAGAGACACCTATATCTACAGATTTTTTTCTTTGGATTTTTGTTTGTTTATTTTATTATTATTATTATCATCATTATATGTAGAGATCATATATATCATCAATAAATACAATTTTTTTATAGTTAAATTCCTGTCTCGTCACTTTAATTTATAAATTGGTGTAACTTATTATATTTTTCCTCAAGAGAAATAACTAAATGAATAGAATGGTCTTAATGTATGGATTTCAATTCATATTATATATAAAAAGACAAAAAAAAAAAAAAAACAATTTTTTATGCATTAATTGGTAAAATATCTATGATAGACTGAAGAGTGTACGATATATGTTATCAATAGGTACTCTTTGGTGAAGTTATGTAGCAATTGATTGCCAGAATACTTCTGCCACATTATTTAATTGAATGTAAATCGTTTTTAATTAGCAATTAGATCAATGTAACAAGTAAAGTGTTTAATATTTATTTTATTAAAAAACTTTATTTTAATTTATTCATCTTCTCTTCTCTTCGTATCCTATCTATTGACCTTTAGCTTAATAACGTGTGTTATTGCACAAGACAAAGAAACATTAACCTGAAGATTTGTTAACTTAAGCAAGCTAGCAAGGATACAATCTTGTAAAATTGAAAAAGTAACAACGTGAAAAGTCAGAGATGACCATGACAAATTGATTAACTGATTTTTATCACACATGAGGTTTCTTGATAATCTGGGCATAGATTCCTGAAGAACTCGTATCAGCCTTCAAGCCTGGAAACAACCAATATTTTCTGAAGAATAAATCAAGCGAAACATTCATATCGAAGCATTCAAATTGACTTAGCCAGCCCTCACCAACCACTATACCACTGTAGTAAATAGTAGTCATGAGAAGTTTGGATTTTTAACCGAAACATAGAGCCAAGAGGTGATGTTCCAATCACTGCAAAAAGTGCCATTATTATTACTATATAAGAAGCTCCAGCCAGTGCATTGTTATCTAACTCATCTTGTACTTGGATTTTAATCTAAAATTCTAATAACTAAAAACTGTCCATTTAAGTTTCTATAATGCATTCTTATTAAATTTTTTAATTAATTTAATTTTATACTTATACCCCTCTTAACCTATAAAAGGGTATAAATGGGGTAGGCCTAGAGGTGGAACAAATGGGTCAGGTTAGGCAGGTCAACCCTAACCCGACCTGCATTCAAGAGGGTTCAACCCGGACCGCCAATAAGGCGGGCCTGGTTGAACCCAACCCGCCAGCAACCCCCGGGCGGGCCGGATTGAGAAATGGCAACCCGGCGACCCGCGGGTTGCTGTTTTGTCGTTTCTAAAGAAAGGACCGCCAACCCGCTGGTTGGCAACAGCCAACCTGGCGGGTTGGTCAAAAAACAAATAAAAAAATGAATTTTTTTTTTGTTTTTTCCAATTACTCTTTTACCCTTGAAATATAGCCGTTTTATAGCTATTAGAGGGGTCTTTTTCGTCATTTTCTTGTCCCATTTTTTTCTATAAATTGGGCCTAAACTCTCATCTTTTCTCACAACTCAAATTCTCTCATTCTCTCATTTTCTCTTATGAAATATAAAGGTAGTATAGAATGCTGAGAAGATTCTTGAGTAGTTTGGTTTAAGGGAAGATATGAAATATAAAGACGGTATAGTAGTCTGGTTTAAGAGAGGATATAGAATATATTTGGGGTGTATTTGCAAACTATCAGACTTATGTAATCTTGGGGGTGTGTCTGTAAAATATTAGACTTATGTAATGCGGTGCGTTTTGTAATGTGTATGAATACTGTACACTTTTGTAACAAATGCAGTTAGTAAAGTTTTCCTCTTAAAACAGAGTTTCGTTTTTCTCTCTGGTTTTTCTTGCACCTTTTCTTGATTTTCTTCTAGTCTTTCATGGTATCAGAGCTATAGACAAGCGTCAATGGCTAATTCTAATCCTGAGTTTTCCAATTTTGGTGCGAAATCAGAATCTGAGCAAGTTGCTAGCTCTGGAGCTGGTAATTTAGCTACTCATTCAACACTGCGTACACTCTCGGTGAAGCTAATGGAGAAGAATTATGGGTACTGGAGGTCCCGAGTCTTCCCTACTCTTGCGTCAGACAACCTTGATGGCTTCATTACCAATGAGAATACATGTCCTCCCATGTTCTTACTTGAAAAATCTACTGCGTGTGAAGAATTTGTTAAAAGATCAAACCCTAAGTACTTCAATTGGAAACGCACAGATCAATTCATAGTTAGCTCGTTGTTTTCGTCCATATCTGAGTCTATGTTCAGACATGTAGCTAAATGTGTTAGTTTGTATGAAATTTGGAATACCCTAGAATTACATTTCCAGTCATTTTTAAAGGCCAGGACTTTACACCTAAGAAATATGTTACAAACCACAACAAAGGACTCTTTGAGTATAAATGAGTATGTCTTAAAGATGAAGGAGTTAGGTGATGAGTTAGTAGCTAGTGGAGTGAATATTGGAGATGAGGAATTGCTTTGTATATTTTGGATGGTCTTAGACCGGAATATGATGTTGTAGTAGCTAGTTTAACACACAATAGCAGTACAGCCAGTATACAGGAAGCTCAATTTTTGCTTCACAAGCATGAGATAAGGCTGGAACGACAGAATAGGGCTTTAACAAATTTTCATGAGCATTTATCATCTGCACTGATAGCTTCCAAGCAAGGATCAGTAGATTCTCCCATAGGACTGCCAGTGAATTCTAGTGTGACAGGGACTGCAATTCAGAATAGTTCACATATGGCACAATCTAGAGTATCAAGCTATTCTCCTGTTTCTGGACTAGGATATCAGCATGGTTACTCACCTGGGGTTCATGGGAATAGGATCTCTCATCCTGTAGATGCCAACATCAATTCTGTGAATACAGGTTATCAAGGAGGTGGATTTAATCGAACCTTTTTACTCAGTTGTACCATCACAGTCCTTTGCTCCACAGCTCTTTGCGCCTGGTGTTACTCAATTTCACGGTAATGTGATGAAGGGAAGAGGCAGAGGTCGAGGATATTTTAAGCCAAAGTTAATTTGCCAAGTATGTGGCAAATTTAGGCATTCGGCTCTGCAGTGTTACCATAGGTTTGATCAGGAGTATCAAAGCTTTGTCACACCCTCTTATGGTCCACCAGTGTAAGTTCCTCAATATAATGCAGCAGGGTCTTCCTATAATGCAACAGCTCCTGTCCAAGATAATTTTTCTGGTGTTTCTAATGAGTCTATCCAAGGGTTACTAGCTACTAGTTGTCCTCAACATAACTCTTTCAATAACTCTTTTACTGGTTTTCATGATCACTCTACTCCTGCACTGATTAATGCAACTCAGAATTACATAGCACCTGCTGTACTTGCTACTCACTCTTCATATCAAAGCACACCTCAGTATCAAAACACAAGTAGCAGTATCTCAAATGCTACATTTCCTAAAGCTGCTCCTGAGTCATCAAAACCTGCAGGAAACAACTATCAAGCAGTAGCAACTGCTCAGACAGTGAATGATCAAGCCTAGTATATGGATTCAGGAGCTTCTCATCACATGACAGCAGATGGCTCTAACCTGATGCTTAAAGCCAACTATCCAGGATGTTCTAAAGTTCAAGTTGGGAATGGAGAATGTATTCCCATTACCCATACAGGTATGCTTTTGGTACCCTCTTTTGATGCTCATAAAGTTGTCAAACTTAAGAATATACTGTGTGTTCCAAAGATTGCAAAGAACCTGTTAAGTATCTCTCAGATTACTAAGGATAATCCTATTATAGTAGAGTTCCATACTGATGTTTGCTTGGTAAAGGATAAGGATAGTGGGACTGTGCTACTTCAAGGGACTGTGCAGAATGGCCTTTACCAACTGGAACTGTCCACTCATGTTAGCCCTTCTGCACAAGTCTACAACAATGCAGTTTCTTTTTTACCAATAAACCAGAGTGTTAGACCCCCCACGACTGGTGTTGGCTTGAGCTCTGAAGCTATTCAACCTTCTAGTTTATGATTAGAGAGTGCTGTTAATTCTGCCATGTCAGATTGGGACATCCAAATATGAGAACTCTTCATGCTGTGTTGGAAAAATTAAATGTAAAGCATAAAGTGAGTAATAAAAATGCTACCTTTTGTGAAGCCTGTCAGTATGGGAAACTACAACAGTCTCATTTTCCAGCATCTAGATCTAGAGCAAAGGCTCCCTTAGAGCTGGTTTCTTCTGATTTATGGGGCCTAGCACCTGTACTATCTAGGGAAGGTTATAGATATTATGTTATTTTTGTAGATGATTTCAGTAGGTTTACTTGGATTTATCCTCTAAAACTAAAATTTGAGGCTTGTGCTATGTTTGTTCAGTTTCACTTGTTTGTTGAGAAACAATTGAATTGGAAATTGAAATGCTTACAAACAAATTGGGGTGGAGAGTTTAGGAGTTTTTCTGGCTACTTACAACAAAATGGAATCATGTTTAGGCACCCTTGCCCTTATCTCCATCAGCAAAATGGGAGAGTGGAGAGAAAACATAGGGCTATTACAGAGTATGGACTGTCTATTCTGGCACATGCTGGTATGCCCCTGAAATTTTGGTGGTCAGCCTTTAGTACAGCTACCTACATCCTTAACAGATTACCTACTTCAGCTCTTGAGTTTGTCTCCCCCTACTATACTTTATTCAACCAGGAACCCACTTATGATGAGTTTAGGGTCTTTGGTTGTAGTTGTTATCCATATCTTAGACCCTACAATAAACATAAGCTATCTTATCACACAGAAAAGTGTGTTTTCCTTGGGTATAGTCTGTCTCACAAGGGTTATTTGTGTCTATCTCCTGCTGGTAGAATATATGTTGCCAAACAAGTGAAATTCAATGAAACTGAATTTCCTTTCAAGACTAATTTTAAGCTGAATGGTTCTGCTGGTGCTCTTACTCCAAATTCAGTGTCTAAGAACAACACAATTCAACCTTGGACTGTCCCTCAGCATATTTTAAGAAACCTTGATAAATCTGGTCTTCCTTCAGCTGCTCTTAATTCTGACTCTAACTCACCAAATTCCACTCCCGGGGGTTCTACTATTCCTTCAAATCCAGCTACTGTTT